CCTGCCCTCTCACATCATTCTGGTGCAAGCTGGCGTGTTGGCCGACTAGCACTTACTCCATGACCTTATGCAAATGTTACAGTGGAGGAAGGGGGTGACTTGTCGGAGGTGGCTGTGCCGACAGGGGCGTCCCAGGGAGCCTCACTCCTGTCCGAGCTGCATGACACGGTGGACAAATAAAACACGTGGCCCATTTGTCAGCTTAGGAGATTGTTCTCGGGAAGTGCGGAACTCACCACCTCGGCTTTTATACAGAACAGCTTGCTTTTGTTTGTCTTCAAAATCAGAGGTTTCAACTGTGATTGTTTCAGAGAAATACACAAACCATGATGCGTATACGGAGACGAACTCCAAAACGTGGTGTTTGCACTTCTCCAGTGGCATGGTTATAACCCCTCTCTCAGGCGATGGAGAAGACAGAGAGAGTGTGGGGGCGATGTTTATTCCACTTATGACAGGTGCGCTCATGCCAAGGCTCTGGGATAGGTTATTCTACGGTATTCACGGAGCCACACCTGGGTGGCTGGTTTTGCATTTGGGAAGTGTTCATTTTGTCTCACTGACCCCGGAGGAGAAACAGGGAGAGCATGGAGGACTTGAAGAGGCTCCTGCCTTCTCTTTCTGCTGCACCTGCTCACTCCGGATCACCTCGTTGCCCCAGGCACGGGGCACAGTGATCACTGCCCTCTTCCAAAGGGCCCTTCTCCCTGCCCTCCGGGTTCCAAGCCCAGGCTAAGTTCCCTAAGTTCCTGACACTTCCTTTGCACATCTTTACCTTCTGCAAAAGTGGATTCATTCCACATATTCTGTGCCATCTCCTGATATCTGTAGGTCTGTGATGAAGCAATCTTAGAACCTCTACCCTCAGAATCATTGAATATATATATAGATATTCTGTGACAGTGTCTATTTTTATACATCTTCTAGTTAAAGCTACTTTAAGACAGGAATCTCTTCTTTCTTTTAAATAAGCATGCATTTAAAATAGAGAAACTTGAAAACTAAATGTTAGTTGTGTGATATGTGCCCTTATTAAAACTTAAGTTATTTTAGAGTACTAACAATGCATTACAAATATCAGTAGGTGGGTGGCTTTTCCTTTACTATATATTGTCTATTAGAAACCTCCGTACCTTTCCCTTTAAAAAGAGTCAATATTCATTTTGATTCCACGCTGACAACTACAAATGGATGGCTAGCAGTTATCAAATAAATGTTGATGAAAAGCGGCTACTTAAACATTTCCAGCCCAACAAAGGCTTAGGGAAGGATGTATAATTTAGGTCTCAGGGCCTCAACTATAAATAAACAGCAACTGCTTTCTAACTCTACCTTCCTGCAGTTGGAGATCGTGCTGCAAACCTGACAAATGATTTCTGAAAGAGAATGATGAACCTTTATTACCAAGATACTCTTAACTTAATCCCAAACAAGAATCCTGGGTAATTTTACATACACTATCAAGATTGATGGCACGGTTGTCTGGCAGCTCACAAATGTTTGATTAGATCAGGAATGGCATTCAGGCGTGATTAAAGGTTCCACCGGGCTTCCCAGAAATTCTCGGCCCCGTGGCACGCACACCCTGACTCGCTGCCAGCCCCACAGGATGGGGGCGCTGCACCCCAGGGCTTGTGATTAGCGGTGGAAGACCCACAGGCTTCTGAGAAATTTTTCTTCAAAAAATTGCTCAGGGGGACCCGCAGCCCTAGCCAGTGTCTGGATGCCAAGGTGTTGCTGTTATCTTATCACAATGGATCAGTAAGCAGTGGTGACAACTCCCTAGATGTGGCTTCAGGTATTTGGTAATGGAGTTGGTAATACCGTTTCCCTTATGTGACTCTTTCCTCTTCTCTGACTTATGCACGGATGTCCCCCACCCCGCAGGTGGCATGGAAGTCACTTGATGGTGATGAAAGTGCTCTTCTAAATTTGTTTCTATCAGTGTGAAGGGGTTTTATCTTGTGTGAGCAAGACCGGCTTATTTACTAATGAGATTTCCCTGATGTGTCTCCTTCTCGTTCTGATGATAGGCAGGCCGAGAAGCAGATGAGCCGAAAATCAGAACTTGTTATTAAACTGTCGTCACATGTGCTCATATAAAGATGTCACTCAGAGGCTGCTGTCGGTATAGCTGAAAAGGGAATTCCCCAAGAAGCCGAGAGAGAGTAGTGGGCTTGGGACTAAAAGATCTTGTCACTACTTAGCTGTCTAGCAGGAAAGGAAAGGAAATTGAGTACCAGTTGAATTGAGTGTGAATCACAGAGGGGTCTTTGCCAGACATACATGGTTAATCTTTGAGTGGAGAAGGTGGTCTTTGCTTTTAGCTGCCCCTGCTATCCTGTGCCCTTCTACAAAGCCAGAGCCACTCGATGCGATTTATGTACTGGCTCACCCCAAGCCTGGTGGCAAAAGAAAAGAGCCAACTCTTGATGAGAGACTGGGGTTTTCTGAAATGTATGGTTTTCATCAGGATAGCCAAAGGTAGGTCTATACGGAATGAGGTCAATTGCAATTGCGTTCAGATTCCATGGAGGGAAAATGCATGCCGCCAGCTCCCTCATCAGTGCGGTTCTGAATCAACATAAGTGCAGAATTTCTTTACAAAAATACCATTCCAACAATGCAAGAGCGCGATGTGATATCATTTTAGAAGGTCACAGTGGCAAAATATTACATTGGGTTTGGAAGAATTCCGCCTTCTGCTTTCCCAAGTGGCCTACTTTAATCTTTTCTCAGGACTGGTGGAACTGTGAAAGGCCAGTTTGTCGTGCTGTGTAAATGCCGGTATGAGAAAGATTCTCGAGTGGGGGTGGGGAGCCTGGATGTGGAGGTGAGCTGGTTGGATTCTCATGCCCCTTAGAGTGGACGGTAAATCACCTGACCACTCTTTGGTGGTTTTGGCAGCTGCCAAGTAAAATGGAAATCTAAGATAGATATCCAGAAAATTATGCAGAACGCCATCTCCACCTGAACTCTGCTAAGGAGAAAAGCCAAAATGATATTTGGCTTGAGTTAGCAGGGCAAGCATCTCAATTCTTCAATTTGTCTTTAGAGGCACTTTGCTTCCCTTTTTTCCACACATGAGATGCAAGGGGTCAGAGAAGCCTCTTGAAATTCTTTAGAGAAATGTGCCAGGCGCTAAACAAAGGGTGGTTAGGAATAAGAATTCTGTGGAAGAAAACTTGGATGACATGAACTTCTTTCCATTAGACTTGAGCCACACAATCGATTTCAAAAGAAAGAGCTGAATCCGAGGAAATAACTGGCTATTTGGGGAGTGGGCACGGTGAGTGGGTTGGGGAAGCAACAAACCAGTTACTATTTACGTAAGTCCAGGTCATGTCCGGTGTTCAGATTCTGAACTAACGGGGCTTGTCCAGGACAGTCAAGCACCAGCTGTGGCCAGAACTCACCTCTATCCCATGCCCACTCCTCTCCACACCCCTCCCCACACCCTTCCCCACCGTTGTGTCCCTTGACTATATTTGACCATTTGGTTCTCACACTAATTCAAAAGCAACCACAGACCCTGACACTGAAGCTCCCCCCAAACAAACAAGCAAAACCCAAGCCTATTTTGTAGCACCCTCCTAAAAGTCTGACATCTTGAGACCCTGACCCTCAGACTGACCGTGACTCCCGAAGGTTCTAGAGTACAGTCATGGTGAACCCACCCAAATCATGTGCAGGGTGTGATTGTCCACTAAGCACTCTGCTTGGGCACAACGTAAAACAAACCTTGCAGGGGCAGAGAAATGGCAGGCTTTGGGTGGGGACAGAAACACACTCCCCCCTCAATCAAATGTCCTTAATGTTTTTCTAATGGTGACCTTACCCCTGGTTACCTTTCTCCACCCTCTTCTGCACCCCCCTCCCCATCAGCCTATAATTAGTTGATGCAACAGGGCTGTGATGCACATAAATAATCACAAGATGCCAGATAAACTGTATTGGTTTTAAATTAGAGCCGTGCCTACCGTGTCTCCCTACGAACACCAGCCTATTATTTTTAATTATGGCTTGCAAAGCAAAGTGATTTCTTGCCCTCTTTACAGCATCCCTGACAGTATTCTGTCAGCCTGAATGATATGGGGCCTCCTCGGCACACACATCCCTAGCCACAGCGCCAACCGTTACTCAAAAGGTGAATTGAAAGTGATCAATTGCACTCACTGCAACTTGCATGTTGCAGTGGACTGGGAGGAGGTGTGCCCCCTAGGTCCCTGCCCCAGTGCAAATATGGGATGAATATGACCTTTAAAAAAAGGGTTTCCTAGAATCTGGATGAATTAATGTGTTATGTGTCTGCATGAGTCATGTATGTATGGTGGGGAATATGTTCATGTGTGTATGTATACATGCGTGGTGAAGAACATGGCCATATGGCTGTTAAACATTTCAACGTAGCATTGCAAACCCTCCCCCTGAACACAGCACTTCATTCAGCACCATAGGCAAAGCCTAAAGGAAAGACGGGGCACCAGTCCTGCTTGGGTTTTCTACCCAATGGGCCGTTAGTACAGTAGTTGATTTAGTTCAGACAGAAGGTTCTAGAAACATCTTGGTGTCCAAATGCACTATGCACGGAGAATTCAAGGGGCTGGATGAGTTCCTCCTTGCCATCTTTCCCTCTTTGCTGGGGAGAGACATCTGACGTGGTTGCTTGATGTGTGTATTTATTTTCGAAGCCTTTCCCTGTACGAGGTGTGAAGAGCCACGTCAGCTCGAGGAGCGGGGGTAGGTTCCCAGATCGGATGAGGTCGGGCATTCTAGACACCAGCGGGGCTTAGGAGCCGGCTTTTCCAGGGTGACCCTCAGTTTTACTGCCTGCGCGCGGCAGCTGGTCCCCTTTGCCACGGCGCTGAGAGATCCGCTTGCAACCGGGCCGAGCGGGAGGAGCCTTGCTAATTCCCAGTCAGAAGAACGTCATCTCATCACCTCTTTTCTTAAAAAAGAAATAAAAACAAGTTTTTTCGTCTTTTCCTTTTGATTTCCAGCAACAAGGAGCTGCCACCACCGTCTACTGTGCTGCTGCTCCCGAGCTGGAGGGCCTGGGAGGGATGTATTTCAACAACTGCTGCCGCTGCCTGCCCTCCGAGGAAGCCCAGAGCGAGGAGACGGCCCGGGCCCTGTGGGCGCTCAGCGAGAGGCTGATCCAGGAAGCGCTCGGGGAAGGCCAGGCCGGCTGAACGGGAGCCCAGGCAGACCTGGGCATGCACCGCCCCCCTTCCCCTACCCCCCCATGTGCGTGCCCTGCGCCACTGCCAATGCAGGACGCCTTCCAACTTACTCTCCCAGGTGCCTTTCCATGTCCCTCCCACACAGGTCCGCCAGAGTAAAGGGAATAAGAGTAGTCACTGCAGATGGGAAAACATTAAGTACCAATGGGAAGCAGGGAATTGATTCCAGGGTGCTCCTGGGCTGGCTTAGGCTTGGGTCCCTTTGCTTTCCTGGTGGTGGCCTGTGTGAAAGGGAATGATCCGTTGGTATGTGAGGTCCTTGTCTCCTTGTAGAAGCCCAAGCAATTCCCTCTCGTTGTCTAGAGTAGCCTGGCGCCCTCTGTCCCCCACTGCCCCCGCCCCGCCCCAACAGCCACCGCCACAGCTACAGCCACCACGGCCACACTGCAGCCAGGAGCTTCCTCCTGTTTAGGAAAGAAAAGTGAGGGTTTATCCTTCTTTGCTGCATTGATCCAAGAGATCATTGTTTTGTTCATTCCGACCAAGTCTCAGTGGGCTTGGCAACTCCGGGGGAGGGACTGCTGAACCTTGTCCCCATCAGCAAAGATGGAGGTGACACTGTGATGCTGAGAAATCGGTGGGATAGACAGAGGAAGGTACTAGTCCTTTGACTCCCTTGCCAAACTATACAAAAAATTCTTTAGAGATTACAGCAAACAAATTTTGCCAAGAAACCCCTCGATACCTTGACCGACAGGTAAGGAAGGAAGCATTGTGTCCATGAGAATGTATAGGATCATTCTGGGGTAGGGGTGAAAAGTCAGTCCCTTCATTCTTCATTCACAATTGCAAGAAGCATCCTGATGGTGGAGGGTCGCAGCTTCTTAGTGCGCCTGCCTTAGCCAGCGTCCTGCTGAAAATTCCTGTCACCCCTCCCTTCCTATGCTTAATAAAAGAACATGCTCAAATAGTATCACCTGGAGTTTGTCATCTTTCTTTAAATGTTTCAGTTCCAGTTTGGGGGTGTTTTTTGTTGTTGCTGTTTTTTTGTTTTTGTTTTTTTTTTTAGAAAAGAAATCTAGAGGAAAAATAAAGCGCTTCTTGTCAATGCCAGGAAAACACCATTCTTGCTTCTTCTCTGAGTTTGTTTTGTTTTTGTGCTTTGTGGCTGTCTGTGGGTCGTGTTGTCTCACACAATTAGCATGCCAGCGTCATATTTTCTGTTGAAGGGAAAAAAAAGAAAAAGAAACATGAGTATTGTTTAATTTCACCTAAAGAAGTTTTGTTATTACTTACAGTGGGTTATTCCGGTCCTCGGCAGTCTGCTCGCCCTGCAATTACCAAGTTCTTGGTGATCGGAGAACATCTCCATGCATTAGAATGCGGGTGGTTTGGAGGCTCCTTCCCACTCACCCCCTTTTCACTGGCGCCTTGTTTTCCAGGCCATTCCAGGGGTGTGAGGAGGTCCCATTTGACCAGAGGAACAGAAAGCTTTTGCTGAAACACCAGGAAGTCTGGGGCAGGGTGTGTGTGTCGCTGTCTCTCCTCCTGATAGTGTCACCTGCAGTCCGCACCGCATCCTGACCCTCTCGGCCTCTGGCTCTGTGGGGTGTCCAGCCAAACACCGTCGCCTCCCAGTGGTCCATAGCCCAGCTGCATTCTCCAGTCTGCCTATATTTCCCCTCACAAAATCGTTATCGTCATAGCTCCTTTAATGTCAGGAACCAGATCATGTCACTTTTCTGGCACAAACCCTCCAGTTCTTTTGAGGTAAACTCTTTGCAAAAATGACCGTCATAATTTTCCCATTCTCCACCCTGTGACTGGTCATCCCCCACACTCACACTGGCCTTGGCCACATGGCTTGGCTTGGCCAATTGGAAAGGTGCTTGTGCATTGGGGATTGCCCTTTCCTGATGCTCTGTAGAACCTGGCAACCACCAGCTTGACTGTCAGATGATGAGAGACACCTGGTCGCTGCCTTAACTGACATCAAGCTAACCGTTAGACATGCAAGTGAGGCCATCCCAGACTTCAGCCCCAGCTGGACCAACCCAGATGAGGAGAAACTCCTCCATCAGCCTGAAGAATGGTGAAAAATAAAAGTTTATTATGGGAAGCCACAAAGTTTCAGGATTACTTGTTACATAGCAAATGCTAACTGATACAACTTCTCTTTTCACTGAGTAAAGTCCAAATTGTTTACCATGGCCCAGGACTTCTTTCATAATCTGGTCATCATCTTGCTGTCTGATCTCATAGTCTAGCACTTTCTCTTCATCTGCTGCATGTAGCCACTCCAGACTCTTTGCGTTGTTGAAATATGCCAGTTCCCTCCCTAGGCAAGGACTTTACACCGGCTGTTCCCTCTGCTGAAATGCTTTTCTTCCAGGGGCTTGCACGTCTTCCTCTCACAGCACATTCTGGTCTCTGCTCCAACGGTCCCCCTTTCTGAGACAGTGACCGCCTTCATGGCGGCGCCCATGTGTCCTTACCCCTTATTTTTCTCCACAACACTTCATACTCTTGGACATATTATGTCTCTATCTACAATATTTGCTGTTCTCTCCCTCCACCTCCTATAATCTAAGCACTGCTAACCTGATTTGTCTATGTTGTTCACAAATGTGGCCTTAGTGCCTTGAACTGCTCCTGTCACGTGGAAGGTGCTTCATAATAACCATGGAAGGAAAGGATGATTCTTAGTGGCCAGGCATTATTATGTTCATGAAAATAACGCCCATCATCGTGGGGATGATTGTGAGCCACATGCTGTGCCAAGCAGGCTGCAGTTTACATCTGAGTTCTAATGTGACCATGACCCTACCAGGCAGCCCCCCTCTTCCTGTCTTATGGGTGAAGAAACAGAGGCCAAGATGGTATACCAGTTGCCCTTGTCCGTAGAGCTCATAAGCAGCAGAGCTGTGATTCACACTTGGGTTGGTTTGACCTCAAAGTCATGCCTCTTCCCTGCACCACTCTTGAATCTGTTAGACATGTCCTTCCCAAAGAAAGGAGCGTCATCTCGAGGTCTCAGGCGGAACAGAGAAGTGACCTCATGGGTCTGACTCAAGCTAAGCTTTAGGCATCTGGTGAAGGTGAAAGTTAAGCCATGGCGGAGAAGATGGAGTATCATCAACCAAAGTGATGTCCAGAACATCAGAGACCCGGAGAAGAACCTTTGGGCTGCCTGCCTCTGTGTGCTGCTCAAGTGCATGCCAACTGGTTCCTCCGTGGGCCCTGTACCAGGCAGGCATCGTGAGCTTTAGATGGAACTTGACAAGGGGGACTGAGAAATGCCCTAAATCAAGAAGCACCCTGAGTTAGACTGAGCCTTCAGACAAGCAGTCATTTAACAAAATGCACTAACTGCTACATGGTGGAAATTCAAAGTTTAGGGTGACCTCTCCCACAGTGCCTGCTATGAAGGAACACACACCTCATATCTGTAGGTGTCTTCACAGTGTGCAAGGTCCTGATCAACTTTACCAGAAGTCCCCCAGGGCACCTGAAGATAAACCGAGGCCCCAGAAAAACACCCAGCCCTCCTCTTGCCCACTATGCCCTGAGTCCACTCATCAGACATGCCAGTCTCTGTGGGCCATTTCTCTTACCAGACACATTAATCATACTTCTAATTTCATGCAAATTCCTGGACAGGTGAGCAAGTAGGTGGCATACGGCCTCACTCCTTATTTGGCTTATCCTAAGCCCAAGGCTATTTTCCCCAACCTATTATGATATGTGTATGTATAGATATGTATGTAATATTATGCAATATATACTTTATATAGTAATAATCCTACTCTACCATCATCACTATTACTAATTGCACACACTATTTACTGAGCATCTACTATGTGCCTTTGACCTTAGACAGGTACTACTTGACCTTTACTGGTCAAGGCAAATCATATCCATCTTATTTTATACTTGGATGCTGAAACTGCAGTTTGCAAAGTAAGCCATCCACAGCCCCATAGCTGTGCCCTTAAGTAACAGAGTCAGTATTTGAATCCAGGGCATGGCCTTCGAGCCCATGTGCCTTCCACTGCATCGCACGGTTTAACGGGTGGCCTACAGACCAGGAGAATGTGCACGTTAAATGTATGCACTGGGTGAATCATTCACAAAGGAAGGCTATTCAGCTTTCCTGTAAGCCTGGGAGCAGCCGATTCTCATCCTGGTGTCCAATGCCTAGCGTGAACTTCACAAACCGTTTCTGTATTTGCCAGTGTGGCTTCAGCTCTGCACACTGTGCTGGTTGTAACGAGGTCTGCAGGTAACCCTGGCTTCCGCTTCTCATGGACTCAGCGTCCAAATCCTCCACCATTGCCCCAGTGCCACAGATCCGCCCAGCGAGGAAGAGTGAGCCAGCTTCTCCACAGCCTCTTCCTTTCAAGTTGTGCACGCGCGCTCTCTCTCGCGCTCTCTCTCTCTCTCTCTCTCTCTCTCTCTCTCCCCCCCAAGTTCCTTTAAACCCAAGGGGCAGCCAGTTTCCACTCTCATGGCTGATGAAGGGAGGCCCTCCTGCAACTTATCAATAGGAAATAAGAAATTGAAGCATCCCCGGCAATGACTAAAGCTGTGGCTTGTGGTTTTGCTCTTTAAAATGGGGTCATGGGTGGCTTTGTTTTGAACTTCAGCGTCGGAGGCCTGATGGCCTCTGTGAAGGTCAGCACCCGGCCAGGAAGCCTTGCTTTGCAAAATGGCTGCCCATCCTGGTCAGCAGTCAGCACCAGTTTTGGAAGTTTACCCTTAAAAAAGCATCTAAAAGAGCAATACTTGCCATGTGTGTGAACTCTTGGTGCCTTTCACCGGTCAACCAGACTAGTTTGAATTTTATAACAGTAAGTAATGTAACGACATATCACCCACGTGATCACTGAACAGACTACTCTGAATTATGTTTATTGATGAGATGATGTACTATTGATAGAGGCAATTTTGTAAAAGAAAAAGAAAGGCTCCACGATTCTAACACAGATTTTTTCATCTTTGTTTCTTTCCTTTCAAGTCTTCATGCTATTTATATATCTTCTTGCTCGCGGGTCCCTGTTTGGAAACCCCTGCTATTGGACCCTTAGGTTCTTTCTAGTGTTTGCTGTTAGAACTAATGGCTCAGAATCTTTATGTGTGCAGCTTTTTCCTTTTATTAATTTACATCCTCAGTATGCGTTTGTGGGGCTGCAACTCGGGGGTCTCGCTGCATATTGCCATGTGCAGTCTGGAAGGACCCCGGACAGCAGAACATACATGTTGCTGCTTTTTCACAACCTTATCAGTGTCGGGTATGGCTGTTTCACTTTTTGATGTATTTTAACTTCATATTGTCACAATCTGTAACTATTTATGTAAAATATCGCCAAGCAGCCAGTCTCTAAAGTCTAAGCGTTTTTGTCTTTCGTTTTCCCACTGGACCAAGTTCACAGTGTTAATTCGAGTGGGACTTCCAGGTGAGTCTGCATTTGATTTGGGTAGAACAAAAAGTCAGTTCAGCTGAGACATTACGTGTTTACCACACTATTCAATCGGGGGATGCCCTGCCTTTTGTTTCTTATCAATCACCAATTGTAACAGGACATGGACCCCATCTGAAATCTCTGCCAAGACCAGAACCAACACCCGAGCCTCTTTGGTTCACTCTGGCTGACGCCTTCAGCCCACTGGTCCCAGTGCTGTCTGCTCGGGGGAAACGTGCCACACCACTCAGAAAGGTTGTCTTGAGTCTAAGCTGATCTGTACACAAGGCCGTGGCCCCCGGCATCTTTGCTGTGAGAGAATAAGAGCCTCTTTTAATTTTTGAAGTGGAGATACGCAAATAGAGGCTCTCCATCACTCCCGCAGATTCGAGAGGCGGCCTGTCCGCCTCCGGCTGTCCTGACGGTGTGCGGTGCTCACGAGGAGCTTGTCCTTTCACTTTGGAATCACGACAGTTTCTCTCGTCTGATGCTGGGCACCCCAGATGAGGAAACTCACTGTTCTCAAGTGCCATCTCCTGAGTGCACACATGCTGAACGGAAACGCTGGTTTTGTTCATTTACATCTCAGGGCTTTTGAGTTATCGGTACTGTCCTCTTTTCAGAGATAAGAAAGATATTAGAATTGGGGGCCACCACTTCCTCTGTGACGTCCTGTAATTCCACCTCTCTGAGTCTGTGGGTCCGCAAACCACTCC